CACTCTCACGAGAGCGTGTGTTTGTGCAAAGGTAGTTTTTAGTTGACCCATGTCGTCTGGCGTTTCTATTTAGCTAGGCAAAATATTAGTAAATGTTTTAATACTAAATTTAAATAGTATTTTAATAAAATTATGCCATTGTAGTGTGTGTATATGTGTGCGGAATTTTGTGTGTTTCTTTTTGTTTCATCTTGTGCATGTGATTTGTGAAATAAAATTAAAAATATAGTACATATATAAATGGAAATCAATCAATATTGTGTGCATACATCTGTACATACATATGTGTAAGTTAGCAATAATTAATTACATTTTTTATTAGGTTAATTTGAAATTTGTTTGCATGTACACACATACATATGCATGTATTGGGACGGACTCGTATGCCAATGTATAACAATTGGGGCTCATATTTGCAGCGAACAAGTCGACACTGCGAATAAAAAGGCACATTTTTAACATGCAGATCAAATTCACTTGTTTTATTTATGTGTGAAAAGAAAATTCATTTGTTTTAATATTTTTACTTTAAGTGTTGAATTTTTTTGACAAAGCCTTTTTAATAAATACTAGTAATGTGTTTGCTTCAAACTCCCCTTTTATCTGTGTGACTCAGAGAGTGGCGCCCTCTTGTTGTGAGTAGCTGCAGCAGTGCTGCCAATTTGGATAATCTTTTTAGTCAGCTTTGAAATTTTTAAAAAGAGTCAAAAGAAGTTTTGGAAGTTCGTAAGAGTTGGAGTAGAGTAATGTTTTAATTAACTTTTTCTAATATTTCCATGACTAAATGGAAATAAGTGGAATGTTCGCGCACAAAAGCAGTGCATTCAAGCACTCAATTGAAACAAACCATCTCTTCTCCCCATCCTGCTCCTGCCTTTTTGAAATTCAAAATGCCACAAGCAATTCGTTCTCTGGCTTTGCTGTTCTTTGTTATAAATTATTAAATTTTCCGCTTAACTAACACTTTCACCGAAACCCGCTCTCTACACACATGAGCACCTTGATGGTTGGCCAGCACATGAGTGTGTGTGTGGGGGGCAGGGTAACAATTGCTTAAATCCAATTTAATATTGATCGCTGCGCACAGCAAATGAAAAGAAGGACAACACACGACAGCAGGACAGTCTGGTATGTGTGTGCTTGTGTGTGTGTAGGAAAAATTGAAGTGCGGCCCAAGTGGATTGAGGGGGAGGGGAGCTCGTGGCAAAAGGGTTACAAGTTACGACGCATATAGAAGAATGAATGGCGATGGCTAACTGGAAACATGGCTGCGAGAAAGTGTATCTGTGTGGGGCACGCACATACACTGATTTAGTTGAGTGTATGTGTGTTGGTGGAGAGAAGGGGGAGGAGGTGGGCGGTGGGTGGTGGATGGTGGATGGTTGGTGTGCATCGTTTGAAATATATTGCGGGCGTTCAGCGGGCAGGTGACCCATTAGCGATTACGAGTACTATGTGCTTTTCAATACATAGTTACAGAGAGGGAGAGATAAGATTTACAGATTAGATAAAATGATAAAAATGTGAGCAGATAAGGAGCTGAAATAGAATTAAAATAGTTGTTTTAGTTGGGGTGCGCACTCAATTGCTATACAGATAGCAGATTCAGATCAGATGGCATGACTTTTTGTACAAATTTGAGATTTCCAAATTGGAATTTCTTGTACAAACTAGTAGCGATGGAGCTTACACGTTCAACAAACAGAAACGGCCGTAAATTCCTGAAGTAAAGTGCATAAAAAACAACAAACAAAATCAAAAGCAATGAACGAACGCAGTAATCGATGTATTTATTCTTCAAATTTGTTGGCATTTGTTTATTACTTTTGGTTTAATTTTTTGTTAAAAAAAGCACTGTTTTTGTTATTATCTTCTGTAGGATATAAATAATATAAAAACGTATATTTGTAAGAAACATGCAAACTTAAATCTTAAAACTCTGCTTTCCTTTTGACAAACAACATTTAAAGCAAACTCTTTGCTTAATCCGCAGACAGTTTTAATTTGATTTTATCAATAGTAAGTTTCTTTTAGCTCAAATTTTTACTAGCGCTCTTCAAAGTATAACAAATATTAAAGTTCGGAAGGCAAATTTGTGGTAAATTCGACTCAAAATTGGGCGAAACTTGAATTGCACTACTTGCTTGTGAAAGTAAATATTTGGATGAAACTTAAGAGACAGGAATTGGTGTTAGTGTTTGACATTTATTTAAGGAAAATATTGTATTTTTGTTACTTCTACTACCAAATAAAGCTTAAAACTGTTAAAAATTGGAAAGACTCTAGCAAGTTGCAGAATTAAAGCACATACTATAAGGTTTTTCTTTGACATGAACACTAAAATTATATTTTCCGACATGTTGTCTATTTATTGTCTATTTGACATTTCAAAGCTGCTCAGTTTCAAGAGTGTTTCGCTCAATAGTCGCGTGTAATTATCCTCACGGATATTTTAAATGTGCCACGAAATTACCAAATTACCGCATAAGGCTCTTCGAGCTGTCTTTCCGGTCAGTTCTAGGTAGCGGAGTTACATTTAAAAATGCATTAATAATTATTCACTAAAAGGTCGACAGCATATGTGTGTGTGAGTGTGTGTGTGTGACACACATTTTACCATTAAATAGTCGCACATTATAATTTGATGGCACAATGACAAACAAACCAGGGACCCTCCGAGCCAGGTCCGCCGATCCAGCGATTGAATGTCCAGACAGAGTCCACACATATAGCTGAATGGCTGTCTGTTTGTTGGTGAGTGTAGGGCTCTCTCTAACCCTTGTGCTATGGCCTCGTCAAACGGCTGTCCGGTCACACGACCCAAGGCACGCACCCCCCCGCACCCCCCTCCCCCTCCACGCCAATGACCACAACAACAACCGCCACCACCCACCATTAGAAATTCATCGATACTTTGGCTACGTGGCATGTTCATTGGTCTGTTTCACTTTATTTTGTACAAGTATATGTATATGTATATAGTATATATATCTATTTTTTCGTGAATGTGCATGAGATTGTTGTTGTATGCTACACACACACACGCATACACAAACGCGTATTCACACACACATACATGTTCGCTGACAAGTGCTGGTATTTGTGTTTACCGTCGGCCGCTTGTCCGTTCGACTTCGACTGGCAAACTGACAAACTGACAAGCTGACAAACCGACAAACAAACAGATACACATGTACCGAACAAGAGCAGCTCCACTTTGTATTTGTATCTATGAGTTTAGTTCATATTTATGGCCATTATAGTGCGCATATATCGGTCGCTCGCGCGTACGCCTCGCAATGAATTTCCTTTCAGTTGTTCGAAATCAAGCGACTCGTCTCGTCATGTTGCCGGCTCTGATAAGAGATGGGTTGTAAAAACTGGTGGACGGCACAAGTGCGCGAATGTTTATGCCCCAAATGTTGGGTGTATACGAGCATACATACTACGAGTATATCTATCTACAGATATGAGTTTTATGTTTCCTCAAAGTACGTTCAAAGCTGCGACGAGTCTCATAAAACGTGTTCAAGTTTCTGAATGCAATTGTTGTGCCGAGCCACAAAACGCAAACAAATGAGTGAGTCAATGGTTTATAATTAGAAGAAGTTAAGGCGCTTAAATGGCCATTTCAATATTTAACAATCACTTGAGTAATTAAATGAATATCGATCGAATCCTGTGGACATATGTCGCTTTCTATTAAGTTAGAAATGTCATTAGAGTGCGAGCAAAGAAACTATAGCGAGCTGTAAATAATTGATACAATATGTCAATTTTAATTGCTCGCAGTTTTTAGATAGATTCAAAGAACTTGCAACACTGCAATTAATTTATGACATGCCTGGCTATATAAATAAATTGTATTAAAAGAAGACTTATCGAAGAAGGGATAAGCTTTAAAAGAGGGAGAAAGGATATCTCCCCCCTATGTTGCTTAATGAATGCAAAAACACCCTCTCCCTCGTAAGTAGATGCAAGATTGAAGTTCAATTTGGAATCAAAAGGTGCCCTAATTTCTTCGACTGTAGATACAAGTTACAATTTTGTTTATTGGTAAGCGTATAAGTCCGATGGAATGTCCCAAACTTGCAAGTACCTGCAGATAGGTATGATATAATAATTACTTTGAGGAACTGTAGGTTAAACATTGCTTTGTTACTGTGATGTTTACATGAGCCAGAAATGCCCATGGACTGACCTGTACTAGTTTCTTGTGAATAAATAGCTTATACTTATATGTATTTATGTAGAGTTATACTTTCTCAAGTTAGTTTCTGTATCTGTATTCTAAAGAAATTCATGCATTCATTCACTCACTGGCCAAGTATTTGAAATGAAGAAGTGATGCTTTCTTCCATGCCGATTGATTCGTCATCAGCATGCACTTCACTTGCCTGCAAATCGTGTTGTGTTTATATATGGATCTGTGTATATATAGTTTGTATATACAAGTATACGACGCACATGTTTGATCGCACAAACACAGATACACAATGAACAGGCAACTCGTTCTGTGGGATTCGCTTTTCGCGGTCTGCAAAGCCACAGTAGCTGTGAGGGAAAAGAATGAGTCACAACATACAAGTATACATAGCTATCCACAAATATTTGGGTAATGCTTTGTGGGCATTTGTTGGTTACCTGTGCCCCAGCTCCAGGCCTCGAGTCAGAGTTGGAAAATCGGGCAACAGCGAAAGGAAAAGCAACAATAATCGACAACAACAATCAGTGGGCAATTACTAGATAAGCACGCGGTTTTATGCGCTTATCAGCGAGCCACAGATAACGCACACAGGCGCAGCTCTTATCTGCCAGACACACACACACACCCACACACACCGCATATAGAGACATATAGGTGTAAAAGGCAACAGATATCGCTCACCAAAAGCATATATAAATTGTTTTTTTTTTTTTTTTTGTTGGAATTATGAAATCCATTTTAGGGCCGTTAGTTGCGTTTCGTTGGCGTTGTCGTGCGGTTGTCTCTAGAGAATCGAGACTTGAGTTACTGTGTCTTGTGTTTGCTTGTGATTGATGAATTACTGTCGTTCCGAAACACTTTTGTACACCTATGTATATGCATGTGCCGCCAGAAAGTCATGTGCTCTAATGTGTGATTGAAGCCCGAGCTGAAAAAGTGCAAAAGCTTAGATAAACCCAATACCACTTACCGCACCTATGAGTCATCCCTTGAATGTGATGAGCCGAATATATAGCGCGTGAAGTGTGCTCCACAAACGTATATAATATAGTTACTGCTCTTCTTTCGGGTATGTTCCAAGTATTGTGACTTTAAATGTAAAATAAAGCAACGCACCAACCATGCTGAGAAAAAACATAAGGCCTTTTTAAACGGTCATACCAACAATACGCAGATAAGATAAGAACTTTGATCAACAAGTGAATGCAGACATGACGTACAGGCTCAGTGCCTATAACGAACAGAAACAATGTGATGTTTAAGTGGAGTTTGTGGACAGAGCTGTAGGAAAGACACAAATGCTTTCGAATTAGGGGAAATTATTCGCTTTTTCCAAAGTAATTTGTTGCAAATTCTTTAAAAACTATTTTAACATACAAGTTGTTAGAGCACTTGATTAAAACCTGAATTATATTATAAAACATAAAGCCTTATTGCTTATTAGCACTGTTTTCGGATTCTTCGGAGCTTATTCTGAAATATAACCAATTCTGAATGTAACCAAGTCAATGGAACTGGACGCGTTGAGCCAGTTGTTGGGTGTTAAAAATTAAAGGGAATTCATAGCCTTAACTTTTAACTCGGATTTTTCGATTTTGACTCCCCTTTGGCACGCTAGTCGCTTTTCCCGATTTTCATCTTCACGTACTTTGCATTACATCTTGTCAGTCTGACTAAGAAGGCATTGTTTTACAGGCTTAAAACAGACGCTGTTTTGCCAACAAAAAAAATGAGTTTTCTTTTTAACGAGGCGCAGAACTCATCACTTAACAATGTCTCTAGTTGTTAATCAAATTTTGGAGCACAAATTCTTTGATTTGCTTAACTTGTTGGTCATTAGTTAGTTGTCTTGATGGTCTTCAATTCTTTCTGGATCCTCTTTATGACATTCATAAGCGAGTGTGTTGTTGAAATGGCCTGTGCTGCTTAAAAATATGAAGATATGTACCGATTGTCGAAACACTCTTCAATTTCAATTCAAGATTTATATTTAATAATTGTCCTCCTTAGGAGAGATCTTAAATAATGAATAAAGTTTAAAAAAATAATAATAATATATTTGTACACTTAGTTAGTTGCAACAATTATTTGCAATTCAATTTTAATTATTAATTTATGAGAAGGTAGGCCGGTTGTGTATCTAGTCTATAGCCTCTGTTTCGCCGCCTGTCTCTTGATCTGGAAATCTACAGTCTCCAGAATTAGGAATTATTATTGAGAATGACGGATTCTTAAACAATTCTTTGCAGCAAGTTGAGCTTCTCAGGTAGCTGTTCGAAACTAGGCTCCCTGTAGAGCGCTGCTTTATTAAAAAGTTAACAAAATCAATAGCTCCACGGCAGCACAGGACTTACAGCAAAGGACTTACTCGTTTATACACAGATATACACACACTCTGTAGGACATCATGTGCTGTCAACAGAATTGTCACTGTCAAAGTGTTGGGCAGACAGGCAGGGAGATTGGAAGACAGGAAGGCAATTGGGGTCACACACTGGCAGAGCCTGAATGCAAAAACAAATGCCGCCACACTAGACACAGTTTGATAATCTGTTGCAAGGGCAGGCAGCATGCATTGGCCAGGCTGGGGGGTACAGACACAGAAATAGGGCGACCAAAGGCAGAATATTGTCACTAAAGTTAATTAAAAAACAGCCAGAGGCACAAAGTGTGTGCACACGCAGACAAACACAAACACACACACACACACACACGCAGATACACAGATACACGCAGATACACGCAGATACACACAAATATGCAGTCTATGCTTTAATAAAAACAGTGGCCAAAGGCAAGCTCAATAGACTGGGATGGGCGGGACGGGGGAGTGGAGGCCCAAAGCTGCTGGATGTCGTCGCCAGAGCCGCGTGTGTAAACAAAGGCAAATAAATAGAAAAGAGATACTCAATAATCAATAGATAAATAAAATTACAAGGTGACAGGCAACACTGACGACAGCAACAACAAGGATGCCAGCAAGGAAGCGAAAACAGACGCAGCAGCGCAGCATCATCATCATCATCATCGTTTGATGGCCAGGATAAGCGCAGCATGCCGCTGGCACAGCGAATGACTACCCTTGCAAGCTGCCTGTCTGCCGGTCCGTCCGCCTGTCCGTCTGCCCGTCTGTCAGTCTGGCTGTCTGACACGTTTGGGTGCAACAAGCGTTATAGCAGTGCGTCAGTTACACGCGCCACGCCGCGGCAAGCGAATGGGGCACACGAAACGGGAAACAGGCAAAAAGCGAACGCGCGCGTGGAAAGCCAAACGAAAATAGAAAAGTGCGACAAAATATGCGAGCGGTGCAATTTATTAAAAAAAAATATGCTATAATAGAAAAAGCGCTGCGAAATTTTTCGCATGATTATCGCAAGCGGACGAGCGCATCAACTGCCAAACGGGTGTGAAAATTGCTTTAAGCTTAAAGCGTTGCATAAATTTATTGCGCATACGCCTCCGGGTGCACGAAATTGGGCGAAATTATCGAAATAATCAGCAAACAATAACATTGCATATGTCTGAGTGCTGCACATTTATATTTGTAGTAGAGTCGAAATCATATAGAAGGTGTAGATGATATACAAGTGGACCTATTAAGCTTTCTTGCCGTACTTCTTATACACAAAACTTTTTAGACATTTGCAATCAAATTAAAGATAGAAGCTGTACGCATTATACTACACGTATGCGTCTTAAAATCTATAAAATTAGGTTAATTTAAATAAATAGAGCCAGGCGGCCGAGGACTTGGCTAACAAAATACTAATAATAATAAAAATACACACATGTATAGGCTTGTGTTGTTTGTTGAATCCAAGGCGGAAAAGATATTTGAAACTTTAAAAAAATGTCCGTGCTTTCAAGAAAAATAAATGCTTTCTGATACTATGAAATATCTTTATAATTATGCGTATTCTCATTAATAGAATAAATTGCTTTTTAAAACAAAAAATTTAAATAAATTCCTTTATTTTATTTGAAGAGAGTTTGATGTTAAACGAAGGCCAAATACTAAGCGATTAAAAATTGAAAAAAAACGTGAATTAATTGGAAAATAATATTAGAAATGGAAAAAGAAGACTTTTAAGATAAAGATAGAAGCAACATAGGTCCTTAGTGCTGTTTGTTTTGAGCACAAAAACGAAATTGTTGACAAGAACTTAGTTGTAATTTTGAATTTACGATTCGAATGAATTGATATCTTTATAAAAAATGTGACAGTTTCTAAACAAAGGAAAGGGGCACCACTTCGAATGCCAAAAAGTTCTTCGAACTCTGCTAAACATATGCGATATCGCTGTGTAGAGCGAGCATAGTACATAAAAAATGTTCATAAAACAGCATTGATTCTCTCACATACGGGTAGAGTACGAGTATATGTGGTGACACATAAAAAATATTGAACATCCCGAGTGGCTATAAAAAGTTTTATTACGATTAACATTTGTGAGGTTTAGGCGCAAAGCCCATAAACATTGTTTATGTCTTCATCTAATTCAACATGTTTCCACTAAACATATAGCACGAGATTAGATGGCATTAGCCAATCAGTGCAAATTCTAACAGATTTTATTAAATTTTAATTACATGTCGAGAACCGCAGACAAAATGGCTGCCGCTGTGCGCAAATGCCAAAAGCATAGTGTGGCTTGAACTCGCATTTCAATGGCCACATATTGACGAACTAACCACAGTGCTGAGCACTTGACTGTCTGCAATGAAGTGCTGCTTCGATAAAGCACTCCATACCGATGCACACACACACACACACACACTCGCCCTCACATGAATGCACTCGATATGAACAGCCAGAGCTGCCACTAAGCAGATAAGCATTAGAGAACGACACACACACAAACACACACTCATACACACGCATTATGTTGGAGGCCTAGCTAATTAGCTAAATTGAAATCAAATTATTTGTTGTCGCACTTGACTTGCCACAGGCATGGCGCCTTAATTAACGCGCATTGCACAAAAGCCCACATATGATGGATTCATATACCAACACATACAGCCGTGGAAATGTGCCCAGCCTTAAAGCCTACGAATATTTCCATAATGATTTATTCTTCACCCTGTTCTACATCGAACTATAAGCTTTAAGTTTAGGCCTTTACCAGCGTTCATTAACAGTGTTCTCGAAAGCTGCTGACTCAGGTGGAAAGGAATGGGCGAAGCAATACAGACAAGTTGCTGTGAGGATTCAGAGATTGGCTGAAACATGGCTTTATCACTTAACACCTGATTTGAGTTAACAAATAAAACCAAGCACTGAAAGAGAACTATCACCTCAACAAAAGGTGAAGGCAGTTCCACGGCGTCCACTTTCTGAAAGATATATCAGGAGAAATAGAGTTAATTCTTCCCCAATCCATTGGCTTTCAACCATCGGTGAATATTAATAGATTTTCATAACACTTTACAACTATCCAATGGCGATTCATTTCTTAAGTTTTATGTTTAATAATTATAGTTGGTACTTCCTGCATAGCACATTATTTAATTATATAAATAGTGCACCTAAAATTAAGTTAGTTTTTTTTTGTTTGCGAGTCATCTTTAAAAATATTGCAATATCATATCAAATATTACGTGTTAAAGATAAAGTGCTGCAGTAATATTTTCCTAAATTAAAACACAAAGACACAAAGCAGCACCTAAGGAGTACCACAGATATGGGTAGAATCGACCCGTAATCCACTATTAATTAATAGTAATGGAGTTGTATAGCTATAATTCCGTAGTATTGCCACCAAACCGTCAGTCAAGTCAGAAAAGGGCACAATTTAAATGTCTCAAATGGAGGTTTTCAGTTTGTATTTGTTTTAGGGTTCTATATATCTACTTGTGTACCTCTATAAGCTTCAACAACTTGCAACAGCTTACTAAACTGTCTGTAAGCTGTGGCTTCAGTATTTTGCTGATATACATTTTTGCTTTTTACGCTCGTGATTAATCTTTCTTACCCACCATTGTTTCATTACAGATCAGTTGTTAAGCACCAACCACAAAGTGGGCTTATAAACAAACAACAGTGAGATAAAATTGTGATAAGCCAGCGAGCGACGGGAGCAAAAATAAAAAAATAAAAAACAAACGAAACATTTTTAATAAAACTAAACCGCAAGTAAATAAAAATCAAGTGAATGTGCAGCAGAAAAAACGCCATAACTTGGCTAAATGTAGTGGAAGCAACAGCAGCACTAAAAGTAATTAGGGCCGGCAACAATAACATTGAGATTAAAAAAATAATAACACCGAGTAAATAAAACAAATGATGCTGCAATCTTTGAAACTGCACGCGGATAAACTGAGCGGCATAGCAGCAACAACAACAGCCAAGGACAACAACGAGCCAGTGGCCGGCGAAGTGCCAGCAACAGCAATGCTAACGGCACCTGTTGCAATGCTTCCTAATGGTATGCCCAATGGCAATGTGTATAATTTAAATAACAGTGGCAATTCAAATAATAATAATAATAACAGCAGCAGCAGCAGCAGCAACAGCAGCAACAGTGTGGATAATAACAATTTAAATAACAATAACAACATACAGCTGCAACAGCAACAGCAGCATCTGCAGCAGCAGCAGCAACAACAACTGCCGCCAGCAAAGTATTTAGAAAATCTGACACCCGCAACGGGCGCCATTGCGGCCGCAACAACTTTTACAGGTGCGGCAAAAAGTTTTCATCCCTACTCGCGCCCCAACACCAGTCCCAGCAAGCCACCAGCAACAGCAATAATGGCCACCTCGTCCTCAGCCGCGCCAACGACAATTGCCAAATCGGCAGCAGTGGCTGCTGCTGCCGGCCTGTCGGCAACATTGTTTGAAACACTTTTGCAAAACCAAATAAATTCCAATGCAACAACGGCCCTGCCACCACCGCCTCCAACAGCAGCAGCAGTGGCAGCAGCAACAACAACGGCTGCAACAGCAGCAACATACACCGCGCCAACCACAGCGTTGCTGCTGAATTCCAGCATTAATTCCAGAACTTCATTAGCCGAACCGAATGCTGCTCTCGGAGTTGGAGCCAATGGCGATTCCGACTCCACAAACAGCCAAAATCGGTGAGTTGCCAACCCCCCTTTTTTATTATCCCCCTTTTTTTATTATTGTTATTTCAGCTAATGACTGTCATGATTTGGTTTGTAGTCTGTGTGCTTGCTAATGCTTGCCAGGAATTGGCGATTTTGAATACCACGAACAAAAAGCAGGCAGCTGAAAATATGTGTCCGAAATTGTGGCAGAAAATTGAAAGCAAATGCAGGAAAAAGATCATTAGATTACAAAAGTTCAGTCCAGAGTTTCACGATTATTTCTTTTATGAAACCTTAAAATGTTTGCAAAGTCCGACTTCCATGCGAAAGTTCGCTAATATTTAAATCCAACTTCTTCGGGCTTTAATCGTTACACAAACCCTAAACAGTTGGCGGACTCAAGAGCAGGTAGAAGCCAGGCAAATGACTTAAAGGGTGGCCCAAATAGTTGTTGATTCAAATGATATTATTTGAAATTTAAATAAAAGTATTTTAATCATTAGCAATCAAATGTCAGAGCACTTATATCTCAAATGGCAGCTAGATCGCTGTATAGAATCTCTCTGTAATGTTTAATTTCAGAATGCTCTTTAATGTGCTTGCCCCGCTCCAGTTATTCAATCACAAGAAAACTTTGTTGCACCAATCACTCCAATGATTGTTTGATTGATGATTGATAATTGAAATTGTCAACGAAACTATGTCGGCTATGCTCTCCAAATAGTTAGTTTCTGATGTCCTCATGGACTTCCTCCACTTTACAGTGCATTCAGTGAACAAATAACTTGCCTTTCCTTGTTCTATCTGCAATTTTTCCAATTTTCTTTTCTGAATTATGTTCATACTTTATATTAAAAAAAAAAAAAATATATATATATATGTTAATTTTCATAAGGGGAAATAGTTTTCCAACATTTTACTTCTGTGCCAAGAAAAAATGACAATACTTGTAACAAGAAAATATTTATTTTTCATTGTGCGCCATTTTCCATTTGCCAGCTTCCCCTGAGCGGAAATTATGAAGAATTAGAGCGTTCTGGCACAGCTATGCCACTCGTATATGAAATGGCGGCAAAGAAATTCAATTAAATTGGAAGACAATATGCCAAATATCTGACTAATGATAATTGGCGTTGACATAAATATTATTAATTAGCAATGACGGCCAGGCTAATAAAGCCATCAAGGGATATATATTTTCACATGATACTACCCCATCAAGCAGAGCTCTGATAAGGCTAATGATCATTGCTGCCCATTGTAATTACGAAATGGTTTTATCTGAACGATAAGACGATGGCACCGCCTCACTCAACCCCAAGTGGTAAACATTCGGGAAACAAAGACCGCGCAGCTTAAAAATGCAAACACGTAGAGCAGCTGAGTTCGTTTCACTCCAAAGGCCGGAAGCAAGTTTCAGCTAAGAGCCGTGCAAGTAAAATGTTTCGCTGCCATTAAATAATAAAGCAAGAATATTAAATTTATGTTGGGTCATTTTTATGAGGACATGCCGGCTGCTAACCGATGCCGATGCCGATGCCGCAGTGCTGGCCGCTGGGTCTGCGAACAACGCGTCATGCTATCTGCTTTGACTCTTGGGCCGTTTTCTATCTGGCGTGGTCTGGTCTGGTGTGGTGTGGTGTGGGCTTTTGTTTTTGTTGTGACAGACGCGCCATAACAAACTGCCATCATAAATTAAATGCCACGTCACTGGTTTGTCGTCGTCGTCCTCGTTCTCGTTCTCGCAGTCCCTGGGCTCGCTGCTCGCTGCTGGCTGGACGCTGGCTTGCCTATCTCTGAGGTGTTGGTGGCGCGTCAAGTTCTCCGTGGGGTGTTTTTTTTTTGTTTTCCAGTTTTTTTTGCTTGCATAACACTAGTCGGCATAAGTTGTTGCCCGCGATCTTTAATGCTATTATTAATTTTGAAGTGGAATGGTGAAAATGTGCTTTGCAGGACTGCATCGTTACTTTTTTTTGTTTAGAGTCTAGATTTGCTTGTTAGTTGGTTTTTGCAATGCTTTATAAATTTTTTTAAGTAGGAATTATACGTTTTTATAGCCAGACCTTTGGCCATATCACTTATTATAATTTATTATCTCAGAAAAAAAAAAAAACACTTAGTTTCCTTTACATAAGATATGTTAATAGAAGGAGCCATAATGCGAAACATCTTTTTTATGCTAGGTATAAAACTTTTCTAATCATTACTGGATAGAAACACGTGTAAGCTTCTGCACATGTTGGGCTTCGAGATTGGCCGAGGACACGCTTGTTACGCCTATTTTCAAGAAGCTCTCGCAAATAGAATGCTCTTATACATTATCTAGACAATACAAATGGATAGACTTTTTTGCTTGTTTATATAAACAATTGATAACTGAATTAAATAATAAAATAAAATAACTGAAAAGAGCAACCCCAATATAATATACATGCACATGTATTAAATATTTTATTTAGCTTTTCCTCAAACTGCATTCAGCTTAGAACAATTTATGTTACCTAAGAATAATTGATTACCTTAATATTTTATATTTATGTTGCAGTCCTCATTTATCTGCGTACGCATCAACTTAAATGTTGTAAGATTTTTAAACACACAACAGCATGTACTATAGTTGTCCAAAAAGGGAAAATTCAAGCTAGCTGCGCAGTCAGAAAGTCATTTCCTAATTCAAAATTTTGTGACAGCAGCTAAAACGTTTTGAAAGCTCGCACCCACCACACGTTCCCAGAGCAGCCCTCGAACGCATGCCGCAGGCGATTTTCTCATTAAGCTCGCGCCACACTTTGGAGCGCATTTAAACGAAACTGAATTATTAATACACCAACCAAACCATCCAGCGCGCCGGCGGCATTCTCGCAGCTCAGACACTGTGCCACAGTCAACCACTAACTGGCAGCTAGTTGGCTACCGCATCCACTTCCACATTCACATCCGCAGCGGCATCAGCATCGGCATCCGCATCCGCGTGTTGATTTCGATTTGGGAGCGCGCTGACTGATTCCCCAGCGGCTGTGGCTGCCGCCGCACTGAGACGGCTGTGAAAATTTGAAAGCAAAATAATTGCCTGGTGGCTGTGCGACAGGTGCGTCCCGCCGCCGTCTGCCATCTGCCGTCCGCCGTCTCTTCATTGTCGTCCTCTAAATATGTGGCACGCAATAAATACCAGCGAACGAATATTTTTTCTCTCTCTCTCCCTCTCTCCAATAAATTGGGCGCGCTGAAAAGTAGGCAACAAAAACGCGCTCCATTTTGATTTACGCTTCAGGCTGCGCCATCAGATTAGCCTTAGCCCTAGCCATAGCCATAGTCCTAAACTCTCCATTACACCCCGGCCCATTTGCATATAACTTGCAGCAAAAATTTATCACTTTGACAGCAACAATTTGGCTGCGACCTCGCCCTCGCCCTCAAATAGATTGAATTTGTTATGTTTTTACGCTCGCCGTGTACGTGACACCGCCTGCCATCAGCCACCTGAGGCAGCATTCAAATGAGAAGAGCTTGGCCCGGTCACATGCATTAAGATGTAGATTATGGTTTGCCATTTACATATTCTAGCAGTTCATAAATGTTGCAGGTGCGGTACTCGTATTAGAACATTCTGACAATTATAGCAATTTTTTTTTTGTGATCGCCAGCCTTTAAAAAGAATGCTTCATTTTGTAATTGTAATTTATTTTCATCAGCTTCATTTTGTAATTGTAATTTATTTTCATCAGCTTTAAGTTTTAATGTGAAAACCGAGGCAAAAACTTGATAGAGTCTTCAAAGAGGTTGTTCTTTTTGTTCCCAAAACATATTCTAGCAGTTCATAAATGTTCCAGGTGCGATACTCGTATTAGAACATTCTGACAATTATAGCAATTTATTTTTGTGAGCGCCAGCCTTTAAAAAGAATGCTTCATTTTGTAATTGTAATTTGTTTTCATCAGCTTTAAGTTTTAATGTGAAAACCGAGCCTAAAGAAACTTGAGAGTTTTCAAAAATAATGCCCGAATTGCTGCAATTTATTTTTAAAGCCAAATTATTTTGAAATAAGCTTTTTAAGACTTGTTATACTTATGAGCAAATAAATATTTTAGCTCATCTAGTTGCATGATTAAGCTTTTAAATAACAAACAAATATTTGAATAATAACAATTATATTATTTTATTTATAAACTGAAATTGCACAAAATAATTAAGTCGGATTCTTTCGCTCGATTTGCAACGCATTTAAATATTTTTCGCATTTTCGAAATCAGCGGCAGCCATTGCCACAACAAGAGTTAACCCGAAACTCAATTAAAGCAAAATTTAGTGTGTGACAACCTACGATATACAGTTTTCTGTTGTTACTGTTGTTGTTGTTGTTGTTGTCAGATGGTTGACATCAACCAAAAGTCAATTTGTTGGCCATCAAAGGCACCCAATAAACCCCAACAAAGTTTTGGCAGCCCACACACACAATCGTCCTTTGCTAACTGACTTCTGAATAGCCCCATGATTGTCCATGGCCAGCCATTACAACGCACACCAACACATACACATACACCCTGCTCTCCCTTCCGCTTGCGCCTTCTCCTGACTGACCAACCACAGAAACAAAACGAAGCGAAAAGTAAAAACGTTTACAACTTTTTAGATTAGATTAGTTTGCTAATAACAATTAGTATTTGTATTTTATGTGCCCAACTGTGGCACTCGCTGCTCATCGTATCGACATTGGCTGGACAGTTTGGCATTCGCATTGTTGTTGTTATTGTTGTTGTTATTGTGTTTTCTGGTCATTAGCAAATGAAGTTAGCCAGCAATGCAGCACATTGTCACTATGTCCGGGCAATAAAAGTTCAATAGAGTTGTAAAAAGAGTTGCACACAAAATTTGGCAAGTGTTGGAGTGCCAGGAGCTGTCCACAGATCCGATTTAACAAAAAATTTATCACATTTCTGTCTTTGCAGGGACATGGAGCAGGACACGAGTCCAGCCGGTGTTTGTGGTGAGGAGAACGAAAAACAGCTGGCAACTGCCGATGCTGCCAAGCTGGAGCCCATGGATACGGGCGGCAACGAACTGGCCAAGGATCAACCCGATGCGGACAATATTAAAATGTTTGTGGGTCAAATACCCAAGACGTGGGATGAGACCAAGCTGCGCAAAATGTTCGAGCAGTACGGTAGCGTGCACACCTTGAATGTGCTGCGCGATAAGGTCACATCGATTAGCAGAGGTGAGTGCTAGAAATCAGCCGCCCACGTGTGAGAGTGTGGGTGTGTGTGTGCGTCCCACGCATACAAATGTGGGATCAGCCGAGAACCTGAACCGAGAACCGACCACTTTTCCCGGGGCTTTTCATAAAATTTTACAATGCCCATGAATTCGAGAAGCACCCTTTTCGGGTGTGGGTGGACGGGTGGAGACTGGCGTCTAATGCGACGCTATAAGCATTAAGTAATATGATTATGTTGATGATGTGCTCGCCAACAACAAAACTTGCCCCCAGAATCCCCAGACCACCATCCACCACATTCAGGTGTTGGTTCTGTTTTATTTTTGGCAAACTTTGCCGCCTGCCTGCGTAATTGGCCATAATTGTGCGTGTGTTACACCAAAACTTGCCACACCCCCCCCCCCCCCCCACACACACACACACACACACAGACACACATATGAGGCAGTGCCTAAGTGCCTTTGTATAGGTTATGGATATGGGTACGAGTGTGGTGTGGGGGCGTGTGTGTATTAGAATAATATGCACATTTGCTTGCAAACTTTTACTAAAGGTAAATTGTATTATGCATATTTATAGGCCTGCGTGCTGCTCGGCTCAATGATTGGATGGTGGTGCCCCATTCATATGCAATATATTCGCGATGGTTGGGTAAATGGAAGAAGAAGCTTATTAGCTAGCTAGAAGTTCTCTCTGTGCAGCGGGAAACCAAATATGAAAAATAAGCAAAACTAGATGTGGGGGAAAACTGTGGAAAGCAAGTTGCCTGCTAACTATAACACATTAAGTAGTTCAGCTTCTAGTATTTTGGCGAGCCTTAGAAACAAGCTAAAGAAGTCTACAAATTGGAATTATCTTCAATAAGCGTCAGATTTATAATGTATGGTGTCATTATGTGAGTATTGAAGTTGAACAACTCATCCAGTATGTTCCATAAGTGTATTGATTCAAATGCAACCAACAAGAAGCATTCCAAGACACGCAGGCAGGTTCCACATTTAATGTAATAGAGTCTTGTCGATCCTCCTTATCCAAACAATCACGATATATTGCGCGCAACTGGTGAACAGCTCGATGTCGAGATACTAGGCGAGGCAAAGTAATCCTTATTAAAATTTTGTTGAAACTCCCAGTTCTCAGTGCGCTGAAGTGCCAGAAACTTTCAGTTAATGCTAAGACGTATCCTGGTGTTCAATAGCGGAATTTGTAATCATAAAATTAAGTGGTAACCCATCCATGGGGCAATATGGAATCGAATCGCCTCCTAAACACTGTCTCTTTTTTTTAAACTGGCTCCTGTTTGCATCTCATTGTTGATTGGCTTGCGCGCTCGTCCCGTCCCTAACATATAGTAAATACGTATATAATATTCGAGAATGAAATTGTGTTCCGAACTGCATGCTCCGTCTATTTGTAGTGCTAGTCAAAAATTGTCCACGCCCACTAAACATGTATCTACATATAAGTATAAGCTAATATATCCTTAAATTATAAATATACTTGTAAGAATGTTTTGGTCCCTAGCTGCTGCCTATTGAGCATTAAACGTATTACTCGTCTGTGCCTTTGTCTAGTAACTGTTGTTTGTTTTCCTTTTGCCAATTTGTATCCTTTCTGTACACTTACAGGGTGCTGTTTTGTCACCTACTATACCAGAAAGGCGGCGTTGAGGGCGCAGGATGCGCTGCACAACATCAAGACCCTGGACGGGGTGAGTAGAAAAGCGCGTCTCCAACTATACATTTATATTTATATAGCACTCTAAGTATTCGTGTAATGCCTGTTGTTTGTGTTCGCGACATGTACGATATGTGTGTGTGAGTGTGTGTTCCCTGTAGTTACCTATAAATACAAACATAACTCGTAGCTCATGTGTGCTCGTTCATTTTTTTCTTTTGAATTTTATTTTAAAACTCTGTCTGTGCTTGAATTATGCAGCTTGAGAAAGGCAGCCGCTTGTGTTTTTAGCTGCGAAATGCCGCCCGCTCGTCGATCGATAGCCCATGACATACAAACTCACAAACACATGCAAGCACATGTGTAATAGTGTGTGTGTGTGTGTGTGCCAGAGAGAGAGCGCATGTTCTAATCGATATGGCAAATAAATTCCTAATGACGAAAGTCCATTATAATCAGCCCCCAATGCTTCTAAGCCAGCCAGTGTTGTGTACTTTATTGGCCTTTAAGATAATGGTAAGCTTACGAACTAGTTCCGATATACAAACTGGAATATTAACATGACGTGATTTATTCAGAAACCACACACGGATTTTGAAGCACAGCCGATGGTCATTTAATGCTTTGCTTTGGAATTTCATGAACTGTTTCACTTCATTTCTTTAGTTTCTAAAGCTTTTTTGTGTGCTTTCAATTCATTTAAATAAATTAGCTTACCTTAAGGATCTTAGCAGAAATAAAAAATTAAAGTGTTAAAAGAAGAAATGAAGGAAAAGTACACCTAACGCGATAAGTATGTAGACCGTGCCCATGTGCTCGAAGAGGAGTATAATATTTAGAATAGAATCTCGTTGGGGTAAACATTTAATTGCCATATATACTTGTGCATTATATTAATAGTTTTTATATTGAAATAGAGGTTCACAAAAATGTAAACTTTCCCTAATTAGCATTTTCAAAGCACAACAGAATTCTGCTGAAACAAAAAATGCTCTCCAATTGGTCTCCTACAAGTATATGTGGCAACATTAATTTCTAATATTCACCGAACTTCAATTTATAATTCAAAAGAACTTAATATGTGAAGATTTCACATTCATTCAGAATCCACACTTGCTGCTTTAATGTAGCATGTTGAGAATGAACTAGGGGGGAGTGACATTGAAAGCACGTCTTAATTCATTTAACATAAATGCTGAACAAACCTTACTATATTCCTTAAAACTTACAATTCCATATTCGTATAATATTTTTAAAATATTAAGTGAAATGTAATGAATTCTCAATGATCAGTAGCTAATGGTTTCGTAGTAGTACGTGGAACCTCTTTCTTAAATCTCTTTCGCCATTAATAAGTCTTGCATTTTTAAAACTGATTCGTTTTAGTAAAAGCTCCATCTGAAGCGTTTGTTCAAGACCATTTTTTTTTTATCAGAAAAACTACAATATAGTTAGCTGCTCAGAACGACTCGATTTGACGAGCTCGAACCTCATCGATGCAGCTCCAACTGAGCATTGCTTGGACCTTCTATTGTGTGACCAACACAAATGTAATCATCAGTCAATTAGTGGATTCAATTATTGAGGACAATCTCATTGTTAACGTATTAAATGAAGCGTTCACGCACAAGTAAACACATACACACACACACATACTCGCAAATGCACGCTGATAGTGTTTGTGTGTGCGAGTGTATGTGGGGGGCCATTTACATATTCAAATTGTTAATGGAAAATCCATAGCACAGGTTCAAATAGGCCAGCACGAAGGCAAGTCCAGTGACGATGCGATGCGATGACGATGACGACGACCACAACGATTGCAAACAAAACAAAGGCTTGCGCCCGAATATCTACAATTTAAGGGTTCGGTGGGGGGTGGAGGGAATTTGGGGGGGCCAAGCAAATGGCGCCACGTGTGTAATTGTCAAAATAATGACCACATGCTAGCAACGTTCCGATACATACATACATATGTACATCCTAGATGAGTGTGTGCTTGGGAGTGTGAGCGGCAGAGATTTTGTTTGTACAAGTAAGTGGCTGCCTGGCCAGTTATACAAATGTGTGGGTGTGGGTAGTTGTGGGTGATGGAGTGCGCTGAGCTTGTCTGATCCTTTAATGCATTTGGCAGTCAGACTGAGTTCAGGCGTCTGTTCTGTGCAGCAGCAAAAACGGCAGCTACTTAATTTACCTGAAATAATCGATAGGTAAACAGAAGTTGAAGCGACGGCATTTTCTCACACAAACACACCCAACCACACAACCACCCAACCACCCATACATACATAGTACATATGTACTTATGTGTATACGTAAGTACGCATGTAGCTTTGTCAACAGCTACAATAAATATTTTGTTTTCAAGTGGGCCTCCTCTCTATGCAGACAATTGGTTGTATCTGTGTGTGTGTGTGTGTGTGTAGGAGGGGGGGGGGGGGGGGGAAGGAGGAGTAGGGATGTGGCAGCCCTTTTGGTTTGTTTGTGTGGCGCTTTAAGTGGCTGACAGCATTTTGGTCACTATTACCTTAACTCGTGTGTTGCTTACATCATGTGTGAAGATTGGCAGTTGCTTTACAAACTCATATATACGTACACTCATATATACATAACAACATGTAAATATATGTGGTTGTAAGACATTAATGCCCCCTCAGCAAACATTGCTAAAGCAGGGTTTTCTTTCCCTAATCGAAGCAAACTTTGATGTGCGAAATATATATATAGTAGTATTGTTATTCATTTCCTGCTTATCTTTTCCACATACTTATATACTTTGATAGTTTCCTTATATCATTTAGTTTGCTGCCATTACAAAGCTCTATATGGTAAAGGAAAACAACTTAAGCTTCCACAAAAATAATTTAAGGCAAAAAACAAGAAATAAAAGATAAGTTTATAAAAAGTTAGTAATAAGGTCTTGTTGAGGCAAAGAAAGAAAAGTCTAAGCTTTATATATAATTCGTAAATAAATATTTTACTTCTTCTTCTTCAATTGGCAACTAAACTCAACTGCTTCCTTATCGATTACTCCTCCTACCCTTGTCAATACAAAGTTTATTAAAAATTTATGCAAAAATATTTCAAAAATTACTCTAAATACAAAAAAGGAAATATAAATAAATATAAATATAATTAACAATACAATCCGAACCTATGACAGTAATCAATTAATATTCCACATATTATTAATTAATTAAAATATGTCCGAAGTAACAGAGTTTTCTTGAAACGATATTTCAACAACAGTGATTGGCTAACTAAAAAATAATAATAAACTAATAAATAATATGTAAGCGATTATCTAAGGATTATTTTTGTTTTAAAAATGGCTTCCAAACAAAATGTCTTTTTGTTGCCTTACTAAATGTCTGCTGGGTTGTAAGATATGCTTTTCAGCCGCAGCCTGAAAGTATGCTACAAAAATGTACACAGAGCTTAGATTATTTTTGAAATTCAATTCAATTCAATTAATTTTTCAACTTATAATTTGAAGCAATTTGTGCCACAAAAGACTGCCTATAAGAGTGCAAGGATCCACAATTGGACAGACAGGAGGCGTATCCTTCCTACTACCTCTTATATAAATTATTTTGTAAAAACGAATAATATTAATGGCCGCAACAGTATGTTGTTTCCGCTCAGCTTCAAATTCGGAAAATGCTGCTGCTCTCGATATCAGTCTCTTAAATAACTCAAAAACCCAAAAAACATCCTAAAAGAAAACTTGTGTGTCCATTTTTTGAGGTTTTGGCTTCACAATAAAGAGCTCTTGCAATTGTATTGTCGCTTTGTTTTCTACGCCCACGCTACTACGCCCAACTTTGAGTTAAGTTGTTAGTCATTGATTGGATAAAGTTATGAAAAGAAAATTGCTTCATCAACCCATCCCATAAAGCCATAACACTAATTTACATAGGGAATTCACCTGCGCTTAATCCCCATCATGACCGTTGCTGTTTTTATACGAAAACGCTTTTAAAGCTTTTGTGCTTTGGGAAAACAAAGCAGCGAAAGCAATGTTTTGACAGCTAATTGACAATTTTCACAGCCCTACTACTACATACATGTAGGAAAACACTCACACATGCTGAGCGGCAAGCGCCAACAAATCGCTTTGTAGCTCAAATGTCATTTATGTGAAAAGGGTAAGGCCGCAGAGTTACAAATGATTTGTATTTGGAACCTTGCGCACTGCGCACTACAAAGGCAGAGACGGACAGACGACAAATGAAATGCCAGACTATAGTATATGAATAGATGTTTGTGTAGGGAAGGGTGTGCGGCACAAAAGAAGCGATGGACAAGGGTAGGCGGACAGGGGACGGGCTTTGCCGCCCTGGTTGGCCACTTTAGCAGTTCAACTGTCAATTTTGAATAATAGAGCAGCAAAATGGTGCAACAATGAGCAATTTGGACAGTCTGGCTAGCTGGCTGGCGGCATGACATTTTCTTGTAATTTGTGCAAAAGCCTTTGGCCGACACACAGACAAACAGACAGACAGAGAGGCGGACCGAGAAGACGGCGCGTTGACGGGTTGGTCCTGCATTTCACTTCAATTTCATTTCAGCACATCAGCAGCATTGCAGCCAACAGTCAGTCAGTCAGTACGTCAGTCACTCAGTTACCCACTCATTCGTTGCTCTATTCATTTATTTATTGCACGACAGTTTGGCTGCAGAACTGGCTCTTCAAACGGACAGAGAGAGAGAGTGTGAGAGAGAGAGAGCGAGCGAGGGGTGAAAAAAGGAAAATAGTTCCAAGTGCTTCATTTTCTAATATGCTTGTAAGTACCTTCTCGTACTGCCATTATTATCATTTGCGCTTTGATGGTTCGTCCTCTCTAGAGCGCAATGAATGAAAAGTTAATTGAAATCAAAGTAATGCCAACCCGTTGGCCATTGCAACTGACAGACGGACAAACGGATAGACGGACAGACAGGCTGAAATGCTGAATTGGTGAAGGGCAAGCTGACAGGCAGGCTGTCCTGCCAGCCATCGACCTTATCAGTTTGCTCAATGAATGTAAAATAAATTAAAATTGTTAAAAGCATCCAATTGCCAAGTGGTAATGGCAATGTTAATGAAATGGCCTCCTCCCCCTCTCCTCTCCTCTCCCCACCCCTCCCCCACATTTGCTCACCATTGCTATCGTTGCCCGCATTCCATTAGTTTTATGCTAAAGAGAACTTCACTTCTCCCTCCTTTTCTGATCAGTTTCATTTCCTTTGATGGGCTTTGCAGTTTTTTTCGATTTATGGTAACAACATGTTTAAATTTAATAGAGGATTGTCTACTAATGATTGTACTAATTAATTGGTATATTTTAAAAGAAATATTGACTTGGGATTGTAAATATATTTATGGATATTTTGCACGTAGGTTGATGCTTCAACAAATTCTGTTATCCCCAATATATTTATATATATATATATATGCCAGAAAAAGGCATCCTAAATGTCTCAGAAAGAAAAAGAACTCATGCTCCTGTTCATCCGTAAAGCTGCTCGAGGAGCCCTAACCGAGTTACCTGTTTTCATTCTCCTCATCCGGTCCGTTCCATTTTTGTCTGGGCACCTAAGCTAGATTCAGATTTTAGAAGAGAATGAGAGGCGTGTTAATCGTAGAAAATTAAACTAAAAATATAGAAGCAACTTCCGCCTTTTCAGGATATTATTCTATTTTAAACCACGCAGAGCTAAAACCACTTCCTTCTTATGAGGCGCATTTTGTATTTGTCGTAGATACAAGAATTTTGAATTAGTACTTTGTGATTCAAATTCTGGGCGCAGCTTGAAATCTAAAGAGTGCCAAGACTGGCATTCTGTCAGAAATTCTGCTTTTGGTTGCAATATGATTGCAATTGCTACTTCAATTAAAGTTCAAAGCACCTGCCCAATTGTGACTTGGCAACCATTTTACGATGCCTTCAACACGTGAACACAATTTTTCACAATTTCTTTGGGACACGAGCATAACTCATATATGCATATGCATGGCTGCATGGAAAACTAATCAAGGCGGCAATTGCAGACTGACATTCCTAATGCTGCTGCTTCGAAGCACGTGAGTGGGATTCGTTATTAGAATGAATGGAAATTTGCCGCCTGCTGCTGCCACAAAAGGCAACTAACATAAGTAATAAAAAAAAGTGACCACTTGCTACTCTTGCTCCTGCAATTATTGTTGTTGTTGTTACTTACTTTGATTCCGTTTCTCCATTGCAGATGCATCATCCGATTCAAATGAAACCGGCCGACAGTGAAAACAGAAATGGTAAGTCAAGAAAAAACTCCCCAGACATGTTTTCCTTCTATATGCGAGTATTCGTACTCTACGCGAAAGGTGGGGTGAGGGCTGTTCAGGTCTGCCGTGTGTCTGCTCGACACAAGTGGCTGGCTGGCTGGCTGGTTGGCTGGCTGGCTGACTGTCCTGCCCTGCGCCTATTGGGTTTAATCACAACTTGTATCTGAACGGCATTGAATGTGCGCGCCTGGATTTGATTACAAAAGTGTGCAGTTAGGGAAAAATAGCCGTGTCTGTGTGTGTGTGTGTGTGTGTGTGTGTGTGTGTGTGTGTGTGTGTGTGTGTGGAAAGCAATGAATAATGCTTAACTGACAACTGATTTGAGGCAGCTACAAGGCTATTGCTGTATTAGTTTGGATTGCATGAATCGATTAGCTGTGTCTGGCCAACTGCATGAAAGGCTTTAGGCACTTGATTCAAACAAAATATAACACTTTTATTTTCTTAAATAAATAAAAACAAGTCAAGGCTAAAAAACAGGCTACTTATATATGATCAGCATAATCATCGACTACCTTCATTTCTCCATTTCTTTCCTTCCTCGTTTAGTCGCGTTAGTTACACAAACGCATACAAGTATTATTCTTTTCCAATTGCCATGCATGCAGTAATCCAAAACAATTTCAATAAGCGCGCCAAAGCCAGCACTGACTGCCAAAGAAACAAATGGGGAAGCCAGCAAATACTTACTTGTCGGAGCACAAAGTGAGCCACAAAGTTGTAAACATCAAGACCCTCTCCCCCACACACACACACACACACACACACACAAATGCTGTACACGTATGTCCCCCCACTTGTGTACGCACACAGATAAGAGTGCAATAAATTGTGGCACTAAAATGTGTGCCCCACATAGCCCCCCATGGCCCACTCTGTCCGCTGCTGGCCACAGCACGCGCAGTTTATTTAATTCCGAGCAGGCAACAGTAACTAAAAACTTAAAAGGCAAACACTAAAAATGCCAGAGCTAGAGCCAGAGCCAGAGCCACAGACAGAGCCGCAGCCAAAGCCACAGCCATTGTACATAAGAGCAACAAACAAAACCCAACTGGGCAACGAGACAAGGTGGCAACGCTGGCCGAGAAGCAAGAGCAAGTCAAACCCAACAATAACAACAATAGCAACAGCAAGAATGACTTTGCTCGCCTGGAATTTTTCTCTAATACGAAAATCTTTATTGAGCGTTTAAGCATTCGTTCGGTTGTTGGCCATGGCCGTCATGCAATGCGTTTCCGTTTCCGTTTGCAATGCTCGCACCAGCTGCCTGTCCAGCTATGTACCTCTAACTGTGTGTCTGTGTGTGTGTGTGTGTTTGTGCTGAATTTGCTATTTCTTGTTATTTTTGCATTTCTTCAACGCACAACAAAACGGCAACGGAAATGTTTTCAAAGTCGTCCTCGTTGCCAGTCTGACCGCCATTTCTTTTGTCTGCAGTCGTAAGTGATTATGTGTGTGTGTGTATATGTGAATGTGTGTGTGTGTGTGTGTGTGTATTTGTGCATGCATAATTGCTTTCCCTCACTTTTGGTGCCACAGTTCTCTCAAGCGCTTCAAAAATACCATTCCCTGCTATTCCCATGCAGTTTATTGTTGTCTTTAAAAGATAATACTACGAGTAGCTTGAGATCTTACACGTGGAAAAAGAGCACATATAAATAAATAAGCAGTTAGTTGACTAAAAATTCTGCAATTGTTGACATCGTTACATCGCATGCTTCTAGAATGTACGTTGCAAGGTGAAAGTTTTCTCCCTGCAGTGATTTATGGCTGCCTGCTTGACTTAAAGCGATCCGCCCAGTTGTAGAAATCTTAATCGGAATGCAAGCAGTTGCAAAACCCCATCAAGTACGATAGAGACAAGCGATGAATTTCTGGTTATCCAGCACTATCGAGTGCTTTCCAACTACCATACGACTAAATGATCTTCGACTGGCATTGCTCTTTTATGGCAATAGCTTCAAGAATTTGATTCTAATTAAGGTTTTTCATATTTTTTTTTTTTTCCTATCAGCATCTATTTTCACTTTAAAGGTCATTTCCAGACAAGAACTTCCTGTATTCAGCACTGAGTATATTTAAGTTGATCTCACAATACATTAATTCAAACAAGATGACCATTTTGTATGCCGATGCGAAGGTCGAAGTACCCTTTGAAGTCCGCTGCTGATGGCAGAGCAACAACTACATAGGTGTTCAGTCATAATTATAATTTAACATTTATAATTTGTATAAATCTGTTGGGAAATGGAGTCCTGGCTCACTTCTTTACCTTCTTAAATGCCTTCAAGCTAGAAGATGGATTTCAAACTCAACACTCCAGCAAGGATTTCAAGAAAGTTAAGGAAGGCGAAGACAATCAAGAAATGCTTACAGTTCCTGTTCAATATATTTGCAATTAGCTTTACGAAGTGACGTTCAACTTGGAATGGACGGTTGGAAATAGCTTCCTTCGTTCGTTTGTTTACTTCTCAGACAGCCCTCGTCAAACATTTTGCTTTGTTCTTTGAAATCCTCAGCGCTGTTTAGTTTTGATTTATCTACACATCTTGCAAAGTTATGGCTCTATATACTTATACTATATAGCATACTCTTCGGTTTACTCGACTGAGCTCTCAATTCGTTCTCTTCCGCGACGACTCTTTTCATGTTTTTAACGGGTTCTACCTATTTTGTTGTTGCGCGAGCATGTCAAGCGGTACGCGTGACAAAAATAAATCACAAAATTAAAAATACGTAACACAGAAATTTTATGGTAAATTAAGAAAAAAATTGGCAGCCAGTCGGGCATTGCGTGTTCCTCGGCCACAACGAGGCCTCGTCGCGTTGCAATCGTGGGTGAAGCCAATTGCTAAGTGCATCTCAAATATTAACCCATCCACTAGCCATTAGCTAGAAAAAAAGAAAGAAAAGTGTGAAGAGGCCCGCAATCCGTCAATTGAACGAAAAGTGACAGCTCCGATATGTGCAGCGTTGCATCTGCAGATAACTGCCTCCGCAACCTGCTCGCAACTGCCAACAAATTAATTGCAACACGCCACAGCAGCAACACAGACACAAGGCGATCAAAAACAAACTAGACACGCCGATGCCACAACAGCGCAAAATGCAATGCACACACACACACACTTATGTATGCATGTATTTGTGCAACAAGTGAAAATCTTTGGCAACTAAGCGAGAATCTCAACAATGGCGCTAGTTGAGGTACTAGTACTTCGAACTAGTTCCTTTTCCACAACAATTCAATTCTAGGTTTGAATCAAGCATTTCTTACATTTGAAATTAAATTAGGACTGGTTTGGGACCACGATTCACGATTTACTCTTTTTTTTACTACGAACAATAAATCTGTAATTTAAAATCGAATAAAAAATGGGACAAGCTAGGAATCGGCTTGTCGTGATTTTGTAGTTCTATGATTCTAGACGTGGACTTTTGCTGGAATTTAAAAGTATATATATTATGAGCTACCCCTAACATGAATTTAATATGTAAAAAATATATAGTTAAATAAATTAAAAATAAAACCGTAAAATAAAAGGAAATGAATTTCCAAACATTATAAACTGGAGAAAGATGCTATAATATTAGGAATAATTGCAAAGTTATTTATAACCAAGACATGGAGGACACATTATAAACTAAAGAAAACATTATAAACTAAAGAAAGATGCCATGCTATTACGATTAATTGCAAAGTTATTTATGACCAAGACATGGAGGACCACTTTTCTAGCACAGTTTTTTCCTACATAGAATTTTGCCAATGACAGTAAAGCGCCCCCAATTTCGACGTCAGACGATTTTATGCATTAGTATGAGCTTCGAGCTGGAAAAGTTTAAAAAAACTTAAATTATTACAAAGACAAAAGTCGAATTGAAAAAGTTAGCAACCGACCAGTTTTGATATTTCAGTTTAATTTAAAGATTTTAATTGTTATTTTATATTGCTTATTTTCCGGATATTCATTAAAAATCTGGTTACGCCCCAATTATCAACCCTTGTTCCCTACTTTCAACTGCTTTCGTCTATGTATTTGTGGTTCCAGTGTTGCCAGTGCGAAGGACTGCAGGGTTGTTTCTCTGCCGCTCTCGTTGTATGGCACATACATATAGTATTGGCGCGTACGGGTGTGTGTTTGTGTGTTTCATGTGCGAAATGTTTTAGCGACACTTGACAAAATGCCAGAAATTCTAAACACTTTTAGCTGCTCGACTCTCGGCTGCCCTTTGGGTTTTTTGTTTAATTTTGCTTCGCCTGCAGGCAGGCGGCTGCTTAGAATTTTTGTCAAGTGTTTACATTTTGAAAGACAGCGTTGCCCACCCAAATACCAAATGGCAGAAGTGCATTTCTCTGCGATGCATTCATGCTTCTTTCTTGCTCTCCCCAGCTCTAGTTAATTAAAAGCACGCGTGCCCGAAAATTTATGTTCACTTGTTTATGAGACTGTACTTATTTCGATTAAGACACGCTGCGTGGCTCGCTAACAAATGAGTTCCTTAATTTGCCAAACAGTAAGGCGTTGACAGGCCACACAAAATCAATTGCGTGACGTTGGCAATGATGAAGACAATGATAATGATGATGACGTCAATGCAGTAAGTGCAGAAATGAATGAAGGAAAGCAACATGAATGCCCGCCATAGTTTGCCTCGCAATCTTTGGCGTCTGCAGCGTTTATCTTTTGTGTGATCTGCGCCGCCAAAATGCATTTTCATGTAAGCAATTAATATTATGTGGTGGCCATTAAAGTGGCATTTTTGAGAGGCACATGTCTATGCAAAGCTGCTGGCAACATTAACACACATTTTTCATTTCAATTACCTAACTGTGCGGGTCGAACAGATATACTTTAAAAGCATAAATAGGCACACAAGCCCGTACATTGCCTTAGAAACAGCTCGATCTTGTTATAGTTATAGGCAAACAATATTATTAATATAAAAATAACTAAATTATTATTATA